AAGGCTGAAATGCTTGTGTGTGTGTGTGTGTGTGTGTGTGTGTGTGTGTGTGTGTGTGCAAATCCCCCCATAACTTACAAGGTTGCCACTTGCTACCTTTCCTTTCTGCAGCATTGGCTCTGTCAGGTGCCTGCCCCTGCTTTGTACACAGTTAATGTTCTGACTTATTTGCCAGAGAAGAGGTGAACTTGCAGAGAGATAGAGGAATGGACCTAGGCAAGACACTTTTCATTGAAATCCTTAGTCTTCACTTATTTAGATTCTTTGGAGCAGAAGGCTCGGGAAGGGTGATTTGGGTAAGTCTTAGCAATGCCAGGCAGGGTGTCACAGAGTAACAGGGTCAGTGATTTGTCTGACACCTTGGTCCAGTTCAGCTATTGGGGGACCCAAGGAGTGACTCATTGGGAGTTCAGGGACCTTCATCCTGCCAAGGATGTTCATGATAGCTTTTCCTGTGGCTTCAGTGATCTGGCAGGAGGAAGGCAGTCACCTATGGGACCAACTGGTGACTCCACTGAAGACTATAGGGATACCTGGATTTTCTTGATGAGCCTGCAGCCTGGCATGGACTAGGGGCAAATTTATGGCTACAGATCTACAGCTGCTTCTTGCCGGTCATGTTGGTCAATTGTATCTATCAATGCTCAGTAAAACTGTAATCTCATTGACTTGCCTGCCTTCTTCCTCTCCGTCCTTCCCACATGCCCCCATTATTGTGTCTTCATCTCTAGGGACAATGAACCTTACAGGCACGTCCACCTAATCATTCATTATAAGCACAATTAGTTACATAACATCTTTTTCTCTACAGTTTTCTGTGTGACAGTGTGGGATATATGGGAACTCTTGGTGTATTCACAATTTTTTGGTTTTCAAATTTAAAATTATCCTGAAATTAAGTTTCTTTAAAAAATCTTTAGAGACTTTAAAGCTCAAGAAGAAAAGTGATGATGTTTTTGTTGAATCTGGACCAGTGTTTTGCACTGAAGGAGATTATTGGCGTTGTGTGTAACACTCTTACGCTCAAGCTTCTCCACTCAAGTAGGGCTTTCACATCTTCACCCAATACACGCCCGTGGCATCCTCAGACACCCTTCACTTTCAAAGCTGAATTAATCTCCTACCCCGAAATCTTAGCAAACTTGCACACAGTGTTGAAGCTTTTAGCAGAACTTAACATTCATTTTGTTTACATATTTCATTTATTAGAGCTTTAAGAACTACTTACTTGTATGGGAGAATTTATATATCGTTAGACAGTTCTCAAAAATCATGAAAAATAATCAATATGCTTTAAAAAGTGTTTAGTGAAATTTATAAATGGAACTGAACATTGAGAGACTATTAAAAGTGACCTTTAGAAACATCTCCTTGTGTTAGGACAACAATGAAATATTTACAGGTGAAATGAGATTTGCTTTAAGATACTCTCATGGGTAAAATATGGAAATGTGAGAGGGCAGGCTAAATTAACAAAATGTTCTTGATTGTTGATATGAGGCAATAGATATGTGAGGTGAAGAAAAACAACTGTTGGTACCTGGAGCCCAATTATAGTCATAGATAGATCGTAAGTTACAAGGGAATATTTAGTGCATAGCTATCTCTGTGTAGGCTATGCATTTTGTTGTCATCTCCTGTTATTTTTGTTCGTACTGAATACAGGTTTTTGATGACAGCGTTACAGAATGCCTTAGACCTTATGTTCTGTTTAGTGACTTTTCTCCAAGTGGAGAATGCACAGCACCTTATCGTGTCTGCTGTAGTCACCCCATTGTGCTATAGAACCCCAAAACTGTGGCTTAGAACCGATCACTCAGCCTCTCTTCCTCTCTCTCATCCTCTTGTTTTCTCCATCTTTGGCAACCGCTATTATATTCCCAACTTCTGTGATATCAACTTGTTAGGATTCCGCAGGAGTGACATCATCTGGTACGTATCTTTTGTGCCTGGCTTCTTTCAGTTAACTTGTTGCCCTTTAGTTACTTCTGTGTTTTAAATAACAAAATTCCATCCTTTTCATGGCTGAGTAGTATTCTACGATGCAGATTTCTATACCATCTTTATTTGTTGAACATAGGTTGTTTCTTGCGTCCATTACTGCAGTAACCATGGGAGGGCAGTTGTCTTTGATGGACTGACTTCATCCCAGTGGTGGGATTACTACCTTGTGGGGTAACTGTGTTTTTGAGGAACCTCCACAGCATTTTCCACAGTGGGTGTACTGACTGATATCCCTGCCAACAATGGGAAACCGTCCCCTTGTCTCCACATCCTCTCCAACACATGTTGCCTTTTGTCTCAGGCAATCAAGTAGGAGTGAGGCAATGTCTGACTGTGGGTTCCATTTAGATTTCCCTGGGTATTAGCAGTATTGAACATGTTTTCATGTATCTGCTTGTGATTTTTATGCCTTACCTGATCAATGTCTGTCTGAATCTACCATCCATTTTTAAGATGAACTAATCATTTGCTACTGGACTGAGATTTTCCACGTGCTAGCTGCCTTTCAGATGTAAGTAACTCTTTACTCCCATTCTGCAAGTTGCCTCTCTCCTCTTGCTGGTTGCTGTTGCCATGTGGAAGCTCTCCAGTCCCAGGACCAGCTTCACTGATCCAGAGTCCAGTGTCCTGAAGTCTCTTCCATGTTTTCTTACTGAAGTTCTGGTTCTTTTGTTGAGGCCTGTGATGCCTTTCAGGCTGAGTTTTGCACATGGGGAGAGAGGGCAGTGGTGTGGCGCACGTAGTATTACTCTTGTACACATGGTTAGGCAGCGTCCTGAGCACACATTACTGGGACGACTCCTACTAAAAACCAGGCGCTCTCTTTCATTTTGAATCTAGAACTTTTGCTTGAAAATGTAATCTTCATATAGTGTTGTAATATTCACACAGTCTGCTGTGGAGTGGATTTTTGTTCTGGTGTTTGGATAATTAGTTCACAGGTTTGTTAGTTTGTCTTTTCATATTCATGGATCGCCAAAAAATCCCTGGGTTGTCTTAAAGCAAAGATTGTAGGAACAGTAGAAAGTTGTATAGTCTTTAATTAATAGTCTATAATTTAAGCTACTTAGGCAAGGTAACTGAAGCCCAGTCATATCATCTCTTATCCAGTACTATTAATTTACTTATTTTAAATCTGTGATTCAAGTAATAAAGACAGTCTTTCTAAAATAATTTGGGAAGATAAGTTTTTCTATAGTGAAAATCATCCTGAAGATGCACAAAAAATGTTACAGAATGATTGAAGATGTAGGAAATCTCTATACATCCAATGTTTCTGAAAAGGATTGTCTCCAGGGCGTTAATGGTCCTGTCATTCAAATAACGTGACTAAAGACATGTTTCTCTGTCATTATTTTAACTCTTGTATTTCTCAAATATTCCACCATAATCCACTTTCTTTCACTTCCCACTTTTAAGATGAGAAGCATGTTACCTTATTATTTTTTAAAATTTTCTCTGTGGAAACCTTTGTTTTAAAAATTGATTAAAGAAAATCTGGGGCCCGGCAAGGTAGCCTAGTAGCTAAAGTCCTCGCCTTGAACACGCCAGGATCCCATATGGGCGCTGGTTCTTATTCTGGCAGCTCTGCTTCCCATCCAGCTCCCTGCTTGTGGCCTGGGAAAGCAGTCAAGGATGGCTCAAAGCCTTGGGACTCTGTACCCATGTGGGACACCCGGAAGAGACCCCTGGCTCCTGGCTTCGAATTGGCACAGCTCCAGCCATTGTGGCCTCTTGAGGAGCGAATCATCGAATGGCAGATCTTCCTTTTTGTCTCTCCTCTCTTCATATCTGACTTTCCAATAAAAAGAAAATAAATCTTTAAAAAAAATCGCTGGAATTTATTTAAACTTGTTTGGCCTCACAGGTGTTAAAATCGATTTACCGCCTTCTTTCCCATCCTGTGTGTGTGACTCAAGTTTTCTAAGAACATCCCCATGGGGGAGGTGCTTGCTTCGCTGAGAATTTAGTTCAATCTGTGATGTAAGTAAGTGTTAGGAATCATCATACTTAGATAAGTCAGTCTCCCCAAAAGGATATCGTCTGTTTCCCCTGAGTTGTGGTGCTAATACATGGAGTCCCGAAAAATGTCATGTGCACGAGTGAGACAGGCACGTTGAGGTTTGGTTACTTTCCTGACCCTTGTCTGTGCTCTTGAAGAATGGTGGTGTTTTGTTTTTTTTTTCTGCCAATCATTTGTTGGATCCTTTTTCTGATGGAGGGTTGAGCCTATGTGAAGTGTGAAAACTGAGGGGAGGGGAGAGAAAAAAAAAGAAAAGGTAGGAAGAGGCAGGGAAGGCTCATGGGTGGGAGGGAGGGTGGGCTGGAAAATACCAGTATGCTGTGTGTATGTTGTGTATGAAATCTGTTCATTGTATACAAACAAAATAATTTTATGTAGTTTTATAAAGATGGTCAAATATGCCTTTATGTCTCCAGAATAAAATGTAAGTTAGAAAGTAACATATTAATATGCTTATGTATTATATGGCACAAACTCTTTATCTTTTAGAATGAGGGAGGAGAGTGCAGAATTAACATAAATGGGATCGTCTGCCTTTAGGATACTTTCCATGAAGAGTCGCGTGCCCCGACCTTCTCCTAACACTTCTGTTCTATGTCATTGTGATGAGCTAGGAAAGCGGTTGTCATTTCAGTGAGTTCAGTGTTGGGAATTCTTACAGCCTGTGATACGACAACAGTAACCTCAGCCCAGACAGTTTAGTTCCATGAGAAAGCCTGGAGCTGATGCTGAAGAGAAGTCTGTCTTTTTGATCAAGAATTTTGAAAAGTGAATAATGTTTGAATCGTGGTTGTAAACCGCTATGATTTTTTCCTACTTGTAAAGGTGCACTAGCTCAGGAGGCGGGGAGGGGATTGGCTGAGGATGCTGCCCTTGTCTCGCGCTCGGCCCGGGATGAGCCTGTCTCTTCCTGGTGTGGCCCAGAGTGGCTTTAGAATTACAGTTGTTAAAATGTGCATTTTGTTTCATTCAGGTTACACTGGACAGCTTTGCGAATCCAAGATTGATTACTGTATCCTAGACCCGTGCAGAAATGGAGCCACATGCATTTCCAGTCTCAGCGGATTCACTTGCCAATGTCTAGAAGGTAACCCTGCTCGCGACCCCACGAACACCGTTCATGTTCATTAAGGCATGAATGATGAGCTTTTACTTCAAATTTCTCAAAAAAATTCTTCATGAGAAAGCTTGTTTCTAAAACGAGACGGTCCCTTTGTTTTTAACTCTGTGCTAGAATAGCTTGAACATTATGCTTGCACATTAACTATGATCTAGGAATTTCTGTGATTTTTCTTTATACATTGAAACAGTGGACAACTACAAAAAAGCAGAATCTCTGGTGATGAAATTTTACTTGTTAAGATTCCTATTTATTTAAATTGGTTCTCAATACCAGTTCACATGAAAGAATTCGACCTAAAATTCAGGTGCTTTTTGTTTTAAAGTTAAGTTGATAATGTCTTTTGAAACTCAAGGATTACTTTTATTTTACAAGAGTTTGTCAGTTTCATAGTTTCACCCCAAGTAAGTAGGCCGTTAATCTTAGCTAGCAAGCTGGTGTTCAGGAACGATTTTGTACTTGAAGGAAGTTTGTTCCATTTATGCTTGGAGGGATATTATGGGACGGGTTACTTTAAATCTTTAATGTAGTACGAATAACGTGACATTAGAGGTTTTTCTCCTTGAGACCAACATGTAAGCTCCTGATCCACAGTGGTGATATTGACAACTATGTGACATAGAGTCACCTCCTCTGCAGAGATTAAATGCTGAGCCTGAGTGCATCCGGAAACTTTTCTGCACTAAGAATGACCTCAGACGGCCCCTGCTGAAGGGGCTGCAGGGAGGCCATGGGCCCCCTAGGAGGCCCAAGGCTCTGGCTCCCTGGGAGCTGTGCCGGATCAGCAGCCTTGGCTGGCTTAGAATCCCGGTTCTGTTTATGATTCCAGCTTTCTTCTGGAATGTTCCTTGGGAAGCAGTGGTAACAACTCAGGAGGTTGGATGTGCCACTTGTGTCGGAGACCTGGGTTGAACTCCTGGCTCCTGACTCAGCTGGCCCAACTCCAAAAGTTGTGAGCATTTGGGGAGTAAAACAGTGAATGGCAAAAAAAAAAAAAAATTGTTTCTCTGCCTTTCAAATAAAATGAAAAGTTTAAAAAATTTTATGTAATTATTTGACAGGTGAACTACAGAGAGAAATAGGAGAGATAGACAGTGATAGAGAGATCTTCCATGCTTTGGTTCACTCCTCAAATGATTGCAATGGCTAAAGTGAAGACAGGCTGAGTCCAGAGGCCAGGAGTTTCATCTCGGTCTTCCAGTGGGTGTGAAGGCACAAGCACTTGAGCTATGTTCTGCTGCCTTTTGGGAGCGGGATTGGAACTAGAGCAGCTGGAAAATGAACTGGCCTCCATATCGGGTGCCAACATTACAGGCACTGGCTGAACTGGCAATGCCAGAGTGCTAGCCAAAAAAATAATTTTAAAAGGATGTTAATTCAGTGTATGTCAATCACAGAAGGGTGAATTGTTGTCTCCTGGGCAGGGTGGGGCTGTATCACCCTGAGTTGTCCCTTTTCCAGCTGTGTATTCAGTACATGAACACAGCTACTGTGACAGTGTCTGGTGTGCTTGACGAACCCTTTTTCCTTCCCTACCTGCCCTTGTTTTGCAGTGCAAACTTCACTCTTAACCGAATGAGAAAACTTGTAAACATCACCCAGGCTGATGATGGAGCACATGAACACCAGGCATCATTTGCCCACGAGCACTTAGTTATACCCTTGCTCAACTGCCACCTGACTCTGGTTATTGGCTTGGCCATTTGTCAAAGGCAGGCTTCAAGGCCAATATGAAACCGAATTGGAGTTTTGCAAAAGAGCCTGGATGACTCCAGTATGTTCTGTTGTTATTGTTTGAATTATTACCTGAAAGTTAGACTCTGAGACTTAGTGAAGAGGTGACATGCACAAAACACACTGACAATAAGGGCTGCTTTTTGAATCCAAGAGTCTTTATTCTTAAGATTTATTTTGATTTCAAAGGCAGCTTTATGGAGAAGGAGAGATGGAATAGAAAGAGATTGTTCATCTGCAGGTTCACTCCCCAAGTGCCACAACAGCCGGAGCTGAGCCAACCTGAAGCCAGGAGCTTCTTCTTGGTCTCCCATGTGGGTGTAGGGAATGAAGGATGCGAGCCATCCTCTGCTGCCTTCCCAGGCCATAAGCAGGGACGTGAATCCGAAATGGAGCAGCCTGAGCTAGAACCAGTGTTCATAAGGGATGCTGGACCTTCCGGTGGAGTATTAGCCTGTTGAGCCATGATGCCACCTCCCCGCCCTTGAAGTTTCTTCTTGTGCTCACGCTTCCTTTCCCACTTCCTGTGGAAATTACAGAGCATTTTATGTGTGTGCCAGGTGCGAGGATGTAGTAGTGGAACCGATACAGCCTCTCCCACACACAGATATGTGGGTCCTTCACGGAACATGTATGTTAGGAAAGAACTGTGCACAGATTTCAACCCACCTGTTCATTCCGTTTTCCATGACCTGTTTGATGTACCCTCATAAGTGTTGACTTCTAGGAGTGGAAGGGTAGAGTTTGAAGCAGAAAAACTGATGGTTTGAGAGGATTTGGAGTTTCAGTGGAGCAGCCTGGAGAGAGGTGGATTATGGACAAGAGAGAGAGTGGCCTGAGTGTAGCTTCAGTAGTTGGTTGTGTCGTTCATGGAGAAGTATTCTGTTTTGGGAATGAGTATGGAGGGCTCTTGTTGGGTTTAGCTGGAGACTTCCACTGGGGAGTTGTTGTGTGGATCAGGAGGAAGTCTGGGCCCAGTGCGAGCACAGAGACGCTGGCCTGTATAGATGGTAACGTAAGCCCTGGGTGTCTGCGGGATGGATAGATGGTGGACTTTCTCTTCATTTCCTGTCAGTTCCTTTGCCTGGGTTGAACCAAGAGAAATGCAGTGCTCTGAACCTGCAAGGAAGGTGATGAGCTTCTTAGTGGTCTTTCTCTGAAGACTTTCCTTAAAGATCAGCCAAGGGTGAGGGCTCTGGTCATTATCTAGAGAGATTCTTGGCAGGGTTCTGAGCATGGCAGCAATGCCTGGCGATCCTTGGACAGCCTCGCTCCCTGGCCTGTGCTGGAGTAGTAGTCCGTATCGGTAAAGCAGCGTGTGCTTGGCTGCTTCTCGTGTGAGCTGTGCAAAGTGTCAGATCCATACAAGGTGCTAGAGTTCCGAGTCAGCCACTGTCCTTGGCCCTTGCCTGTGCTCACCTTGAATAGTGGGGTGGACCATGCTCTGCTTCTCAGCGTTATCCTTGCATTGGGGGAAGTGTATTTTATTCGTCTTCTCACAGTCACTCCTGACACCCTACTTCCAGAGTTTTTTTTTTAATGTGGGGGCAGTTCATCAATATTTAGTAAATAATTCAACTGTAAAAGCCAACAGTGTGGTACTACTCCCAGTTGGTACATTAACCAACTGCTTTGGTGCTCACGGCAATCCTAGGAAATACATACTGTTAATATTTCCATTTACCAGACTGGGAAATAGGGCCCAAGAAGGTAAATAACTTGCCTGAAGCTGCACAGGTCACAGGTGGAAAGCCAGGCAGCTTGGCTTCCGTGTTCTTATCCACCATCTATCTCTAATATAGTTGAAAAACTAAATCCTATGATGTTTATGTTTAAAGTTTATCTGTGTAGCCATCGTCATGATTCAGACAGAGGCGAGGTTTTTGGGTTCTGGAATTTCTAAACACTCTCACTACTTAATTCTTAAGTCTGCAAAGGCAAGAACATATTTTCTTTCTTTTACAGCAACCTCCTGTAGAAGGGTGTGTTCCCTCTGGGTAGCGCTTTTGGTGCTGCATGTCCAAACCACGGTTCCTTCCCCATCTGAGCATCTTCTTCCCTTTTCCATCCCATTTGGACCAGCTTTCGCTCTCGTGACTCTGGTCTTCCTTTTAGCCCCTTGCCTGAAGTTCAGGGTGAGTCACTGGAAAGACTCATGTATTCCCTTCTGGGGTTGTCTGCTCCTCTCTGATGCTGAGTTCTTGTTCTCCCTCATTAATGGCTTCTGTCTTTTCTTTGAACGTTGACTCTGCTTTCACTTTTTGGAGAGGAGTTTCAGATTCTGGTTCCAGTGGGGGTGATTAGAGTTACAGGTAAAAGCACCCAGGGTGTTCCCTTGTATTCACTTTGTGAAACGAGAATGACTGTACCAAAGATAAGGATGTGGAGTAGGATGCAATTGTCCGTGCACCTGCTGTGTACCCGGAGTATTTTGGAATGTTAGGTTTAGACCTTTGAGGCCTTAAATTTTTCAAGAAAATTTTTTTCAATTCTGACGATGTCTAATTATATATACTTACTATCATAGCACATTGACATTTAAATGTGTGCATAAAATTAGACCCATATAAAAATAAAATCTGAATACTAATATCCAGCTATGATCTTTACCTCAGCAATTCAGTTTGTATTCTCCTATTCTAGGGTTTTAAAGTAGAACACCACACAACTTAATACAGAAGTGAAAGAAGTCTATTTGTGGTTGGAACGTTCAGTAGTAAAGGACTGTTGTTGGAGCTGGGAGAGTGACCATTCATGGCATGCAGCTCATACCTGATAGAACCACCTACCAGCCAATTACAGAAGCCTAGGGAAGTCTGGTCCATAGAGAGAATATCGGACTTAATTCACTGTTTTGCGAAAATAGAATTTTGTTCAATGTATTCAAACAACAGCAATGAAAAAAGCCACTACTGCTAATGATAAGATAGATGCACAGTGCTCTTCAGTGTTCAGCATGAAAGCAAATGTTGCAGTTGGGTAGTGCGGAGACCTTTTGTTCAGTCATGGGATGTCAGAGTTTAGCACTGGAGTTGATGGTCAGACATGGGAGATTTTATGACGTGGCAGCTTCCATGAGCAAGTATGAGAAGTTCATGTCATCTTCCAGCGTGGGTGTTGCTGGACCTGAGAGTGTGCCCAGTGACGAGGCCGTGGAATGAATGCATCCGTTTGGGTGTTAGGTTGCATTGTTAGGTTGGAAGTCGGGAGCCACCTCTTTTGACAGACTCTGC